TCTGCCACTTTTGGGATTCTTAACAATTAAGTCTTCAAACAAAAAAAAAATCTTCATCTGGAGATACATGTATGTATTATTTAAGATACTGTAGCATCTGGTGTCAAATTTATATCGGGTAATGATCACTCCTTTGTTATCTAACTTAGTTCTACATGTTATTGATTATGTTGGGAATCCCAAGCATTAGCTGAGCTTTGGGTGAATCAGTTAGTCTTCTGCTGCCATGATCCATCTATAATTTCCTAAAAAAAATAATTTAAAGCCATGAAAATGTCAGTGAGGTTTCTCTTGAATCACAGATCTGTTCGTATCAGTGTATGACACCTTGTTTTATTCAGAAGAGGAGCTCTCTGTTTCATTTTTAAATTTAAAATCTGTAGTGTTGGGAGGATATGTGTGACAGCCAGTGCTAGTTGTTTTTGTTAGTAATATGATGGATTGGGAATATTTCTAGACTTCTTTTTCCTTTTTATTTCTTTAAAACTATTTGAAGAGGAAAGGAAAGCACTTTGCCTGCTGAATTGGCACTTCTTGTGTCCTGAATTCACTCCTCTCTCTCTCCCCTTCTGGAAGATGGGATGATGAATCTAGGAACTTAGTTTTTCAAAGACTTGCCTTCTCTTAGTCTTTATTTTCCTTGGCATGAGGAGCTTTCAAGTGAGTTCAAAATGAAGCAGAATTACTTCCTTCTGCAGTGTGGTGGCAGTCATGGCAGGCTGCTCATGGTATTCTTGATGTCTCTGCTGATAAAGTGTATCTTTTAAAAACGATTCTCTTTGAAGCTACCCCAGCTGCTTGCTTACCTAGGCAAGAAACCTGTGTAAACAGGCAAGTTGTCAGAGGTGGCGAGTTATTACATCAGTATTTCCTTGCTGATGATAAACTGGGAAAATAGTAATGATGAGGAAAGGAAGGTCTCTTCCCGGGCTGGTAAAATTGCTGACTAGTTGTAAATGTGGGGGAATTCTTCTCCCACACGCAGAATACGCAGCCAAAGAGTCGGGAGACCGAGTGCTGCTTCCTGTGTTATGGATCCTCAAACCTGATACACAGTTGAGGGCATTCCCTATCTGGCCATGTGGACTGGGTGTCTTTTATGGATATAGTGGCTGGCTGAAACAGTGCTTAAGGTTATGGATATTGTGTCCATTACAGAGCTTTTGCTTGTAAGCAAATATAAAATGTCCAGAATTCTAGTTTTACCTGCTGTGATGAGAATCAATCTTTTAGAAGGAAAAGGGGAGAAAGCTAACGCTGGAAAATAGCTGTAAGTTGCTTTAAGTTAGGGACACTAGCAAACTGTTCTGAGAACTGACAATAAGACTTAAAAAAAAAAAAACGCTGAAATTTTTTGTCAGAGCAGCTTTTATTTTTTTAAGCGTTTTTAAATTGAACTTTATCAAAATGTTTATTTCTAATGACTGTGCTGTATCATTATTTATAATACTAAAACGTTGGAAATTTGAGCCTTTTAGTATTGCAAGCAGAATTAGTCTGGTGGAAGATCAGAGATCATAGTTTCAATCTTACAAACTGGAAAAATGAACATCAGTTGCCGAAGTTTATTTTTTTAGTACTTGTAATGTCAGACCGACGTTTGCCCAGTAGAGGGCAATAGGTAAGTGCCTGCACATGTGCAGTGCTTGGGAACTCCTGCTGGGATCACGTAGGTCGTTTGCGTTAGGGATGATTTTTGTTTCCAGTGGTGTTGATGGTGATGAGAAAAGACTTCTGGACCCAGCTGTCCACAGGAAGCAGTGCTGCACTGCTTAATTACAGTTCTCTGGACTTCTTGCTTTCTTGGCCTCCTCAGCTTGTTTCCCCTTCAGTGTAGGTGACATTACAAATGCTCAGAGACTTAACTATCCGGAGGATTATTAAAGATTTCTTGAACAATAAAGAGTTAAACAAATCCTAGATAAAGATATTTGAAATCCCTTTAAGACAAATACTGTTTAACAGTCTTTCTTCAGCCTTTTCTTGTCCATAGAACTGCTAGTTTGCAGCTTGAAATATACTTCTCAGATAGTGTAGGGACAAAATGGACAACTGTAACAATCTTGTAATTATTAGTGACGTAATATCAGGCTTTCAAGTATTAAAAGCAATCTGAAGAGTACGTTTTAGTCCTTATGATTTTATTTCTTGCTAGTCTTATGCAATGTCTTCTCTCACAACTTTCCATATTTCCGTTTTAGTCTGAATCTCAGAGCAGCAGTGCTGTGGCCGGCCAGGAGCGCACTCCAGCTGTGTCCACTAACACATCCCTGAGTCCCCGGCAGCGCCGTGCCCAGCAGCAGAGTCAGAGACGGGCTCCGTCCTCCACTGACTTCAACCGGGCGCAGCAGCCGAGAGTCAACACCAACCACACTGGATCAACTGTTCTGATCGTCCTGCTGACCTTTGCGTTGGCAGCTCTTATATTTCGCAGAATATGTTTGGCTAACGAGTATATATTCGAGTTATAAGGTTGTTTGTCCTAGCAGCAGGGACCTGAATGCTTCACTGAACATTCTGTATTGGGTATGACATGAGAACTGTTTACAAAGGCTACTTTTTTGTATTTATGCTTAAGTCCTTACGAATGTTGTTAACGTACCTACAGATACATTACTTGTAAGAAAAGCAAGGTGGGACATGTGTCAATTGAGTGCCCACTAGAGAAACAGTGCAGTGGAATAGTAACGTTAAGGCATGGGCCTAAATTTGAGTAATTTATAAACTAGAAAAAAGACAATTTTTAAAAAATGGTTGATTAATTTTTTTATGGAACATAAATGCGATTAATCACCCATCTAAGTTAGTATAAGATTTTAAATTGGAGAAGGAATTATAAAATGAAACACTACTATGTGTTTGTGTCCAGTGAACTCTTCCGTAACCACTTTTATTTACCCTGACGCATTTCTAGAGGGGGAACACATACAAGTTGTGAAGCTGCTTTGTGTTTGTGGAAGGGGGAAAGGAGAAAGGGAGGAAAGAAGGGGCCAGAAAACTACTTGCATTATTATTTTGATTTTTATTTTTTTGGAAGAAAGATTGGATAATCTTTTGAAAGATTTGAATGTCCTCTTCTAGTATTTTCAATTGTATATCTTGTTTTTAAATTTGACAATACTACAAAACATGTCTATTCTTGCAATAGTTATAAATATGTAATATAATTATTTACCCAGAGCTATTGTCTTTTCATTATACCAGAAATATACATAATGTGTTGAACTGAATGTTTCGTATGTGGTTTTATTTACTAAAGAAAATTTAAACCTTATTATACTTAAACACTTATATATCTGAACATGCTTAAGAGAAGTATTTATTACAATCCTACTAATAATAAAGTTTCAAGCCACTCTTTGGATATGTTTCAAATATCACATGGCATTTGTTTATTGTTTGCCTGTTTTATTTTGTTTTTTGGTGTTTGGTTTGGGGGTTTTGTTTTTTGTTTTGTTTTGGAGTTTCTTTAGGGGTTGTTTTTTGAGTTTGGTTGGTTGGTTTTTGTTTAGGTTTTTTTGTTTGGTTGGTTAGTTGGGTTTTATTTTTCTTATTTTGCGGGGGGGGGGGTGTGTAGTGTTTTGTTTTGTTTTGTTTTTTTAACCTAAAATCTACATTGGACCCAGAGACTTTCTCATTTTAAGTGTATTTAAAAAGTCACTGGTAATAATCATGGATACTGTGAAAATGTACCTATAATTTTTAAGGGTTTTGAGAGGTTTTATCGGTGACTGTTTAAATATTGGAGTGAAGTAGAAGAAAGCGATGAGTGGGATTGTTTTCCTCTGGTATTATTGTTCAAAGTATTGTTCAACGTGTTTGTTTCAAAGACAAGGAAATTTAGCTAGCTCTCATTTTGTTGCTGCCAAATGTGATAGCACTGACTCACGTGAGATTCTCGTCCCGTTTCTCAGCAAGTATTTATCAAGCTACATACAACTTCCTAGATTTTGTTAGTTATAGCATATATTACATTAAACTAGCTATAACCATTTCTAAAATAAGGAAAGCCCATTGTGTGTCTAAGGGGGATGTGGAAAATTAAAAGAGCCAAAATCTGACCTCTTTTTTAGCATTTCTGTGCGCTGTTGATAATCTTGTTTGCAGGTGCAATGGAACAAGGATGAAAAAATAGGTTTTTTTAGAAGGTCGGACAAAAGTATGTCATTTGTTCAGCAGTTACTTACACATTCTGCCATAGAACAATCTGTTGTCCATACATTAATATCTTTTTACCTAATTTTTTATTTCATTAGAAATTAAAAAAAAAAAAAAAGAAAACCCCAATACGCAACTCCTCTTCCCCTCCTGACTTACAGAGAGACAGTCAGCATTGTCCTGTGGCTGAGCTGTGAGGAAATAAGCCTCCAATGTTTTTTTGTAAACAGCTTCTTCCTTGTGATTAAAGAAGTAGCTACTTTTTAACTTTAAAATTTACATTTAAATCTTCTTTGATAGGAGTTCAAATACCTGATTACGCAAAATACCCATTTAAAAAAAAACCAACAAAACATTAATGGCAACTTGTTTTATGTAAAGTCAGTTGCATGTACGGATTGGGAGTTACTGTTTTAATTGTCCTTTAAAAGTTGACAGTAAATAAAGTCAGCATTTTCAGAGGAAATAGCTTATATTCTATGCTCAATGGCATGAAGAGCCAGACTAAATCAGAAAATAAACCCTGAACTGCTATAAACGCATCTAAGTACATAGATTTTACAAATGAGATACATATCTGAAATGTGGCATAGGTGTTTTCCAGTTGAAAGAGAAAGGATCAGAAAACGTGGAATGCCTAATGAAAAGGGACAGCCTGGTTTTACAGTCTGGTGGGAGGATAGCACTGAGATTAGGGGATTGAGGAAAAAGCCGCATGCAGAATTGCGGGTCTTTATATAATGGCTTTAGTAAGTATCCTTTAGGACCCAGTGGAAATGTTTATGAGGTAAATTTGGTGAGTAATGGCCAATCATTAGGCAGTGATGAGGGAAGAGCTTTGAGTGCAAAGCCCCTGGAAGCCTGTGGGAAGCATCACGTCGGGAAAGCAGCGTTTCTGCCGCTGATCGCCGACCAACGCGCGACGCAGGAATTAGAGTTGATTCAATGTTTAAGCCCGGGGGGACTTGTTCTACAGGAGGTCATTGGAGTGCAGAGTTCCCGGCTCCCATTTCCAGCAAGATGCCTTATTTTGCAAAACTCCTTTTATTAATCTTTTGCTTAGTTCTTCTTGTGGAAAGCAGAAAACACAGGAGGAGGAGGTGGACAAACCAGCTGGATGTGCAGAGGGCGAGGTAAGCGTTACTAAAACACTGTGTCTCTTTTCCTGGAATGTTAAGAATACGTAACTACACGGACATAAAAACCTACTCTGTCGATGTCTTTGTGCCTATTGTGTGTGTAAAGAGCTTTATAGATAATGTTTTTATACCAGTCTCTGGGAGTATATAATCAGTTTTAACTGTAAGTGGGCACTTCTAATGCTCATATTGATTAACTCTGAGCGAGGCAGGTTTTGCAGAGAAGTTGACCACCTCAGCATGGATTGTTGTAAAATTATTCTTAGCCAGATATGCAAGTTACTGAGAGAATTCAGAGTTGCAGTTCATAGAGATGTTCACATGTGCATACCGTTTCAGCACTGTTTCAAGAGCAGGTTGTTTACCTACTTGCTGGAATGTCTGTGCTACTTACTTGGAATCGCCTGTTATTTTCTAACAGTGGGAGATGGGGAGCATGCAATATGGTAATTAATGGTAAAATAAACCCTGAAAGTTATACAGGGATTGTAAAATTAAAAATACGTTTTGAAGAAATACCAGGAATCTTAATAAAATATAAAAATATATTTTAAAGTCAAGCAAAGGCACAAGAAGGAGTTAAAGGTATTAGTAAAGTTTATTAGATTTACCATTGCTGAGATTTGTCCGGAGGTTTACATTGGAAAAGATAATCTTCCAAACCTGCCAGACTGTCCAAACTATGTTATCCTTTTTTGTGGTTATGTCATCCAGTGGCAATTATATCTTACAAGACTATTCATTGTTTGAAGGGCTCAAAAATAAAATTGGGTTAATCCATCTTATTAAATGGCCTCACTATGGCTGTAAACTTTCATATTTTCATTTATTTTATTAGGCTTTTTGGTGTAACACTCAACATTTATAAGGTATGTTGTTATTTGAATGTTTTGCAAATAAATGTGATGTAATTGGAAGCAAAGAATACATAATATGCTATCAGATTTACACCAGTTATTGAAAAAAATACAGTGGCATATGCTTTTACTGACGTTAATGTTATAAAGCTGAAACAGCCAGGGCTTGATCCTGAAATCCTAAAGTCAACTGAAGTTTTACTACTGATTTCCACAGAATCTCAGTTGTTGAATGAGATCTTTCATATAACTGAAAATATTTCAAAGTCTGCCTTCTGGGGACTGTGCAGGATTCAACAGTAGCATTTCCTTGCCAGCCACTTGTGTGTAGTGGAGATCATTTGCTTTGAAGTAACAGAATCGTATAAATCCTTCTTTAAATATGACTTTGCCCAAAAGTAGTGCCATTCTCTGGGTTAAAAGTTTTGCACTTCATTTGAACATGGCAAAAATAATTTACTGTTTTTATGGCGCTGTTATTTTTGTGAGCTGTAATAGAGTGGCAGTCAAAGCACTGCTAAAATTATTTTTATAAATATACTGCAAAGAATAACTGATACTATTTAGTTTTCTGTGATGTAATGGTTTTCTTGAACAGTTTTCCAGTCAGGTAGAACCTGAGGAACTATATTTTATATATATATATATATATATATATATATATACACACACAATTATATATTTTGTATACACACATACACCCCCACATACAATTCCTGTGCGATGTGGTTATTTAAAAGTATATAAAAGGAATTTTTAGAGACTATCAAATATGAACGATATTTTTAATGCGAAGAACTCTGCAATGTTCTGACAAACAGTAGTGTATGGAGTCATTAATATTTTAAATTTCCAGTTATATAGAAAAAATTTAGTTGTCTTTAAACCAGCAATAAATAGTGGGCTCATCTAGTAAAAGGAAACTAAAGCTAGTTCTTATGCTGGTTTCCCAGTCATGTAAAAAAATTAAAACAATGATCTTTTTGAATAATTTCATCACATTTTCCGCTTAGCATTTCTCTTGCTGACTTACCATAAGAAACAGAGTAAATTTTACAGTAAACATAACAATCAAGAAAAACATGTTCCCATATTTGGGAATCTACATTTGATAAGTTTGATATTTTGTATCCATTAAGGGGATAAATCAGCCTGATCAAAGATCTTTGTATTGACTTCAGGAAGATGGCTGGGGTTGTGCAAGTGCAGAACACCTTCAGTTCTGTAGTTTATCACTTGAACATTGTATAGAGTTTCACGCTGTATAGAGGTCCTTACCCCCAGAGCTCTGAGGGCTCGGGGTAGCCGCTCACTCAGGTGCCGAGACACTTGTCTGCCAAGGTTAAGCAGGGAAGTGCTTGAGCCTGTGCCTTATGGGAAAGGAATATGGGAGAGTCAGGTTAGGAACCAAATCAAGAAATTCCAAGTTAAGGGTTGCCTCTGCACCCTCAATTACTCCCCTCGGTTTGTGTTAACACTGAACTGTAACATGTTACTTTTTTTTTGATGAGTGGTCTCTTGCTCAGTGTGCAGAAAGGATAATCCTTGCTTAATTAGAAGCTGTGTTGCATTTAATATTTTCTTGCTTCTGCATCCCTCACCTCACTGATAGCACACCTCCTCTTCTACAAATTGAGGTATAACTTAAAGAAATAACTGTTTCTGTGCTTCGCTGGCCCTGATAGTTGCCCAGTGCAGCTTCATGTTATGCTCTGGAGAGCCCAGGCTTTGCATGGGAAATTAATCTGTGCTCATCAAGTAGCGGGTCCTGGCTTTGTACTTTTTAGTAGTTTTTCATGTTTTCCAGGGTCTACTGTCTCTGCCACTTATATTGCGAAACCGAAGGATATCAGTGGTTTGTGTGAATTTGAGGGCATTCTTGCTGATTTGCAAGCTGGCAAAGGGTGCACAAAACCAAGGGCTCATAGGTAACCAAAATGTTGGTTAAAAATTTTTGCATTTCATTTTGTTTGGAAAAATCAAGTGATAAATGAACCTCAAAGCAAAGCCTTTTGTCGGAGTTTGGGTTACTTTCTGGGCAGGGCAGGCTGGCCCCTGCCTTACCTGTGCACCGGGGAATAAATTTCCAGAGAGGGACAAGAGACTGGTGCTGAAAGACACGGTGTAAGTGTGGAAAGGTACAGTGTATGTGTTGAGTGGTCTCTGCTGCCATGGGGATGGGATTTGCCAGAGAGCTGGGTACACAGTCTAGGCTAATGCTGCCAGGGCATGTCCGATTTGCTATGAGTACTACTGGCTTGTACACAGTGTGTGGATCTGTGCTTGGAGCTTCCTCAGCACATCAACCTTACTGTAAGTGCCAAGCAAGTGCTGCTGGAATGTCCAACACTGAGTTTTTGAAAGAGTTTGGGGTACTCTTCAGTAGCTTGGCAGTGGCTGCCTCTCAGGAACTGCAAACAAATGCTGGCAGTCCTTCTGGATTATCTGGACTGAATTTCCACTCAGAGAAAAAGAAGCTCTGAGAATTTCTACTTTTGTTAATATTTATATCTGTATGAAAATTGCTGATAATGTTTCTGGTAATGTGTATTGCTCTGCATAAATTGAGAACTCAGTTTACCACCTGGATTGTGCCAGTGAATGCAGTGTTTTCAGCAACCTACACCCACCCAGCTCAAAGCCTGCCTGTTCCTCTCTCCTACCAGCTGTGCGAAGCCTCATGCTTCCATCAGCAGAAACATTGTGCCTTTGGAATAGGAGTGGCTTTGAGCTTTTGTTAGCTAAAGACTTCCTGCCAAGATTTTTGGAAGTGGTCAGTGATTTGGAGTATCTCATTAGGGATGCAATTTTCAGGGTATGCTACATGCAAGTCCCAGTTTGGGACCCAGAAGCAGAAGACGACCCTCAGGGCGCGGCAGCACAAGGCTCAGCACACACAGACTGTTTTTCCAAACAGCAGTCCACTGGAGTGAACTTATCTAGTGATCCCTGCCAAAACTGCTGCTGCTGGCAGTGCCTTCCCTCTGCTTCCTTGCAGAGCTGCATTTTTAATCACATTTTTCAACCAGATAATGCAGACATTGTCCTCTAGCCTGTGGTACCTCCCAGCCCCTGCAGAATCCTTCTGCTTAGGGTGGTTTCTCAGAAAATTTTGAGTAAGTGGCTCAGCGATTAAAATGTTGATAAACATTTTTTGCAAGTGTGTTGCTCGTCTGGGACTCAATTCCAGGGCATTGCAGAACCTCTAGCTGTGCGAGGTTTGATGTCTCCTGGGATCTTTTCCCCAACACTGCAGCATCACAGCAGTGAAACAAAAGCAGGGAGAGAATGCGTAGGATAGCAGTGATTGTGCACACCCTTTGACCTTGTGTCATCGTTTTCCAGAGTCTGGTTTAGTTTTTCTAGAAAGCTGGCAAGGAAAGTCACCTTCTTTCCTGCTTTGGGCGTAAACCTACTGATGAGTTAAGTGTTAAATCCAGAAGTTGGGCAACAGAGTCTCTCTCCCTTGGGACTCTTGAAGCAGTGGGATGGCCATTCATGCAAACCAAGATAGACCTGCCTTGTTGTGGAGATACCAGGGCTTCTTGGGCAGCGAGGGCTTCTCAAGCACTTGAATTGTTGGCCCTGACAGGTAATGGAAAGAGGCTGAAAAAATCGAGGACCTTGAGGTTTCCAACTTTTCAGAAATTTCTTAGCTGCATCCGATCCCATGTGATCCATGTACATTAAAATTACAGATACACATCCATGTGGGATACACTCACAGCACAGTGGAGACCATAAATTTGGAATGCTCACCTAGGAGTGAGCTAGTTGTTGTGACAGTCACAAATGTTCTTTTACCTTCTGTTTTTCATTTAGCTTCTAGGAGATCTTTGCAGCAGTCACATGCTTATTTGATTGGAAAAACAGGAGGTTTGAGACTTTCTTGATGCTGGGTTTACACAGTGTGCGGGTCTCCTCCAGCTCACTGTGGCTGATACATAAAGTAAATGACGCCTTCAGCTAATGCATTTCGGGATTTTTTTTTTCCCCCAGGGAATATACTGAAGTGAGGTAAGATTTCACTGAAACTGTAGCAATACTTATCTGAATCCCAAGAGGTAATTGGAACCAAGATCCCATGACCATGAGATACCACCTTGTGACCAAAGACAATGCTGAATTTCCCAGAGGAGGGTGCAGACACCTTACAGACTCTGGCTGCCAACAACTGCGCCATGCTCATGATGAGGATCACATTTGCTTTCACATTCACCACTTAGCCTGTGCCTTACACCCTATGGCATGAGGACTGTTTCCAATTTGATAAGCTTTTTTATCTTGCTCTGAAAAATCTGAATGTCTGCATAGATACCCACTTTTTTGAGTCCTGCTGAGCTGTTATCTGTAATTTCTCATGCCATCAATAATTAATTTGATATATTTGGCAATATAAGAAGCATTTCATGCACTTGAGAACAATTCTGAATAAAATTGACTGGAAAGGAAAATATATTAAAAAAAATAGAGCAATAGTAGAGATGTTTTTACTGAAGCTCAGTGAGATACCTGTTCCCTTCTCTCCTCTCTAAACAGGAGCAATTCCTCACAAAAGTCATATTTATCAAATTCATCCCCTTTGAACGAAGTACAAACAGCAGTAAAATGATATATGAATAACTTGGCAAAAAAAGAGATGAGGTGATGGGTGGCTTTAAATGAGTAGCGATGAACTGCAGAGAGAGCATAAAGCTGGAAGAAATCCTGAGAAATCTGTAACCAGAAATGCTAAAGACCATAAATACGTCGGGGAGGATTTCTGGGATAGCGGTGATCAGATTGTCAGTAAAGGCGCCCGATGGGCAGCGGGATTCAGTGCATCCTCCAGCTCTGCAGAAGCACTGGCAGCTGCTGCCACCTTTCCTGCAGGTAACGATGTGCTCCCCATGCCAGTCAGTGATGGGGGTGGTGTGGGGTACCTGCCGGAGAGTCCATCATATACCTGAAGGATTGGGCATGAACTGGTGATTAAATACTATTAAATGCAACCCCTGTCTAAGGAAGTGCCTGAAAACCTGTTTCCTTCCTCAGCCCTCTGAAGCCTCTGTGGCCACAGACTGTTCTCAGCAGCTCTCCTGTGTGCTCTTTGCTGTTTGATGATTTTTAAAAGAATTGATCAAAGCACAGCATTTCAGTGAGGCTGAGCCATCGATTTACAAGATGGCACTGTAATACTGCCAGGGTTTTCCATACTAATTCCTCATACAGAGGGCAATCCAAAGTTTTATTGGATTTTTAATTAGATTTTTTTTTCCCCATTCTTTGAGGAGAGAGACTTGATTGAACACTCAGTGGTACTTTGGCCTTTCCCTGATAATTAAAATCAAGCAGACACAGGGAGATCCTGCTTCCCCACTTCCAGCTTTTCAGGCGTAGGGGCAGTACTGCGGATGGCAAAGCGGAGCACTTTGGCAGCAGCCCTAACCTTTGCAGGGAAGCGAAGTTTCCCCCCTGCAGCAAGCAGTTAAAAGCTAAACTTTTGCCTCCAACCATTCCCATTACTGTCTGTGCTTGGTTTGACACCCTGCTTTTAGGTAACCATTAATGCAGCTGTGCCAAGCACGCTTGCTCCAGCTGGCTCTTTCTCACAGCCAGCAGGGAGAGAGAGGCTGTGGCATCCTGGCTGAAACAGGAGCCCGAAGTGATGAGAGAGGGGTCCAACGTTTTCTATGTAGCATGTGTCCTGGAGCACAAGGGGTTATATCCCCTCAAATAATCCATTTGACATTTTTATTTTCAAATTCTGTTGCTTCCTTTTCACCTCCTTATTAAAGTAAATGGGTTATTGATGTTAGCAGGAGATATCAACACCCCCTAGGTTTCTTAGTTTCTTTCCTGAAATGAGTGCTCTGATGGGAAACTTTTCTTCTGATTTGTGATTTATGATTTTTTTGCTCCCTTTGCCTCACACTCATCACGTTTTGTATTTTAACGAGGCCAAGCACATCACTTTCCACAGCCATGCTTATGAGTGTGGTGACTGTTTTGTAAACCCAGAATTTTTTACCAAGATTTTAAGCCTAAGTAGTCTCTTTATTTTTTCTCCAAGTTTTTTTTTTCTTTATTTTCAGTAATATTTCTTCCACACAGGCAAAGGAATCTGAACACTTTTGTATAAAGTTCTTTCTCTTTATCATTATTACTTTTAGTAAGTTACTGACAAACAGCTCATTGCAGCAACATTTGTAACTTTGTCAGATCTTATGTCCAGAGCAAAGGGTTGAGGAACCTTAATGGTCCAAGTGCTCCATCCTGCACCACTGCAGAACAGCCAGGGATGCTGATCTGGATTTTCTTCCGGAAATGTATGTTTGTCTGCTGGTTAGTTATCCCCTAACACGATTTTAGTGACTATCTTGCACTTTTCTGAGGGGTTTGTTGACATCCTTGTTCTACTGTTATCATATAATGTATCAAATAAAAGGTTAGAATTTTTCCTACCTTAATATTCAGAAAAGTGAAGGATTGCAGAATTCTTTAGCTAAAACTCCTCTTTTCCTGCTGTTGAAGGGAGGAATGAAGTGGTTTTGTTATTGCTGAAAGCCAGGAGACAAAGCAAACCCTCTGTCCACACAAACTGCTGGCACTGAACTGAAGTTCATGGAGCAGATGGTCTCAGTCTAGTGTATGACATTGCGTGACCACCATCGAAAAGAGCTTTCTCATGACCCTGTTCCTTGGTACCTGGCCAAATCCTGGCCAGGTAATGTGGGGCAGCCAGCTGCTTCTGCTGTTGCTTGCCCTGAGCCACGGGATTTGCTGCATCCCAGCTCCTCCATGGGATGCTGTGCTCTGAGCCTTGTGCCTCCGGGGGAGCCACGGTGTCTGGGGTGGAGGGAGCACCGTGTCCACCTTGGAGTGGGGCAGAGACAGCAGGGCACCTGTGGGGTCACAAAGTGCTGTGGAAAGGCGGCTCTGTGTCTATGCTGTGGTGCTGGCAGCCTACTTGCTTCCCTCCCTTGCACTGTGCCTCCAAAGCTGCTGCTCCTGCAGGTCCAAAACTGGGCCGGCAGAAGTTGGCTGCAGCTCAGGCACGGAGACATTGGACCAATGCTATTGCTGTCTTTTGCAGTCACATCTTTAAGAAGAATCATGACTTGACCAAAGCCTGGAAAGGAAAGACAGAGCAGCTTCTCAGAGTTGATGAACATGACTTCACCATGAGGCCAGCTTTTGGAGGTGAGAATAAAATGGTTCTCTTGTTTTCGTGTTCATTTAATTAAAAACAATCTAATTATCTAATTAACCATCTCATTTGAAAAGAAACCAGCAAAACGCCAAACCTCTGGCCAAATGCATTAGTGTGGAGGGAAGGGACTTGGGTGGCAATTCAGAGAGGCCTTATGCTCATCGTGTAGCCTTCTGTGCTCTGTACAGTTCCTACATTCCTTCCTGTTGCTGGTGTTGGCTTTTTTTGGCTGTCATTCCCCAGAGCTCAGGATGGACCCTGACAGTAAGTGTTTTACTCTACTGAGAAGAGGAATAAACTGCAGGTTTTAGTGTTCACTTGTAGCTGTGAAGTTTCAGTGAGCTTTTCAGCTGATGTTACCAAATTGCAAAATAAAGAACTCATTAGGTGGATCACATCCCATCCTTGCTAGGAGAAAATTGAGTACTTTCATCCAGACAAAATCGTGTTTCAAACTCTCTAAAGCAACCAAAGGAGTGGGAGAAGAGTCCCCTGTGTCCTTCACTTCTGCCTTCTGTCACACCCAGTTACAGGAACGTCCTTGGTTGACCTTTTTAGGCTCACTACTGCAGAGGTAAGAGAGTACCTGAATGAAAATGTGCTGGAATACCAGTACGGAAAACCCTCTTCTTGACCAATAGCCAAGCCCCTTCAGAGCTCAGGACAGTTTTCTGTAGTTTTCACTGAATGGCTAATACTGCATCCTTTGTCAATTGGCCATCTAGGGTGAAGTGCTACCTCTCCCTGTCCAGTGAGACACACGGGTGTTTTGTCTTTTGCACCTCATCTGTAGAACGGAGCTTCTTGGACCTGCTTATCCCTGGTGTGACTTGGAAGTTGTTTCTCTCCCCACAGTGCAGATGTGCTGTTCTAAGAGCACAGAGCTGTCCCCCTTCTCACAATTTATATGTGTATATCTCCAGACTCCAAAGTTCAAATGTGTCATCATCAGTGACTCTTGCCTGCCCCCCACCATTACTCACTAGCAAGTTGCAGTCCAGCCTGACCACTGGAGGTAAAACTTCTTTTGCTAATCAGTGCTAATCTTGATCTGCTGTTTCTGGGGTTGAAGAATTTGCCTTAAATTGCCCTCTGGGTGGAGCATAGGCAGATCTCCTTGGGATTGGTGTGAATACACCTGACAAACCATGGGGTGCAGCTGAGGCTCAGGGCTGAGGTCTGGGAGCTGGCTCTAGAGACAATGGCTATGAAACCTGCTCCTGCTCCTTTATGAATCAGCGGTAAAAATGATGCTGTATGAGCTGCTCTCAGGTCCTCCACCTGCTCCAGATGGAGCAGGTGATACCCCAGTGGTACTGCTGCACCAGTCTCTGGTTAGGGAAAGGGAGATAAGGCCTGGCAGGCCTTTCCTGCCAGGCTGCTTCTTTGGGAAGGTGAACCTTTCAGCAGAGTGGATTTGGGAAGGAACCTGACTTCCGAAAAATGAAAGTACCAGGGAGACATGAGATTGGTTTCAGGAACTCACCTGTATCCTCCTGATTCCAGGACAAGATGGTCACTGTCAGGAATGTCCAGCCAACCGCCCTGTTGGCTTAACCCCTTGTTTTTTCATTTATTGGTCTTTGTTTTCTTTACCTGACTTTCAAGGCTTCTTTATTTTCAGTCTTCTGTCCACAAAGCCTGGACCTGTGAGGCATTGGCTGGATGTCCAGTGCCTTCAGTCTGGCTTTCTTTTGTTGGCATGCTGCTCCTTCATGGATAGTGGTGATCCCACACAGCTTGCCTGGCACAGCAGTGCTTTGCCACAGAAACACAGAATGGTTTGTGTTGGAAAGGACCTTAAAAATCACCTGGTTCCAAACGCCCTGCCATGAGCAGGGACACTTTCTGCTAGACCAGGTTGCTCAAAGCTCCATGCAACCTGACCTTGAAGACTTCCAATGGTGGCATCAACAATTCACTGATTTTGATCAACACTTCACTGATCTCTCTCACTAGTATGTTGTGTTCTGAAGGTGGATAGGCAGCTGTGTGGTTTCACACACATGAAGAGGGATTGCTGATTTGCTATGCTTCAAGTTCCTTATCAGACTGGACACTGAGAAGCAGAGACTCTGTTCTGTTGAGTGAGTTCACTGAAGTGTATGTGCCTCCCTAAATGTCAGGTATGCCCTGCCCTGCTATAAGCTCAGAGGCTGCTGTGTTAAGTTTTCAGATTTATTTTTTTTTAAGCCAACCTCAGTTTTTGGAGCTTGGCTGATGACTTCCGAGTGCCTAATGTGGACAAACTGGAAGATCGGAGCCTGCCAATCTGTCCTCTCTGCAGCTGTTACCACTCTGGACAAACAACCTGCTGGCTCCTGAGTCTGATAGGGTGGGATGACAGGGCTTCTCTGGGAGGAGATTTGGACTCCTTCCCATGACTCAACTGGAGATAGCTGTGGAGACACAGTGATTTTTAAAACTTTTTTCCCCTAACTGGACATACGTCAGGGCATGATGTCTGTGTTTTGGGGGAAGCTGTGGGGATTTATTCTGTTGTGCTGATGGTTTAGGTTTTGATGCTCAGTGGCACCCCTGCACTATATGTCTGGAAGCAGATCCAGTCTTTACTATGTTCATCAGTATCACAGAGCCTGTGAGGAACACTTTCGTGCACATCACACCAAGCATACATACATAATTACAGAGTCACTCTTCCAGCGCTAATGTAACTACATTTTAATCTCCCTCTCGTCTTGTTTTCCCATGCTAACTCCCATCACAGCATAAGATACTTCTAGAGACAAAAGCTTTGGACTAGTATTTATAAAATTGAGAAGTATCCTAACAGCCTTTACTGAGAAGGTGCCTTTATTTATAAAGGAAAAACATGGTGTTTTTTTAATATTTGCTTAAAACCTCTCTAATTTCCAAAGTTTCTTGGGACAAAGGTGTGGGATTAGCAAAACTGTGCTGAAGTTGCATGTGATAAGGAACAAAGCACGGAAACAGTTTCATTGAGGCTCCAACCTTGGAAAGCATGGTTTACATGGAGATAGAGGGTGCTACAACTTCTTGCACCCCTGCAGAATTGTACATTGTATTTTTAGTGACAGATGATAAACTTGATGGGAAAAAATCTGGTAAGAGGCAATCCTCATATTTCCATCTGTAATGTGATTCGTCAGGCAGCCACAGTGATTTGTCATGCACTGTGAGTCCTTCCAGTTTTTTTGCTGTGGCAATGTCAGTCAAACTGATGTGGTCTGACCTGCGTAGGATAAAAAGGTTTTTGTATTGTGGAAGCAGAGAGGAGGAGCCTCTGGGATGGCATGTGGCTGTGTCCGGTCGCTGCTCTAAGACCTTCTCTGAGAGCAGCTCGAGCACCATGGTCTAGTAGAGGTTCCAGCCTTGTGGCATTGCACTGGGCTTGTGATGTTGTGATGCAGGTGGGAAAGGTACTTCAATTATGGAAAACGTAAATAATATAATGAGGAAATTGTGAGTGACATTAGACTAAAGAGAAGCCCAGTACTGTAAACGTGATGGTCCCCAAGTTTGGTGGACCAGTTTACAACTTCACTATTGAACTTTAAGTGAAAAAGGGGTTGGGGTGTGACCTGCTTAATGGTGGCCATGGGGACTCTCGCTGGTCTGCAGAGGACAGTCAGCAAGCTGCCAGCCCAACACAGCTGTGACCACTGGGCACAGCAGGATGGGGTTATGCAAGGTGAAATGAAACAAAAAAACCCAACATTAGAGAAAGCTGAAAGGTTTTCCAAGAAGAAGTACCTTTGTAAAGAGCAAGTGAGCAAACAAATGTTGTGTAAGTTGTGTTATTAACAGCCCAATAAGCATGGTTGTCTTGCCTGCTCCCAGCCCATTAGAGACAGGCGATTGGGTACAGACGCTTTGTTGATGGTCAAAGAGAGCCTCCATAAGCTAAAAGAGACTGCAGGGTTTCTGACCCTTGGGGAGTTATCTCCATGTCAGTGACCTTGTTCTAGCTAGCAGATGTTCAGGTATTATTTACTATTATTAATTTTTAAAGATTATGTAAATGTTTGTTTTGCTGCCTTCCTTAAACACCCATTTTAAGCGTTTCATCTATGACATCTCATATTTTACAGGGAGCCCATGAATAAGCAGCTTTAGTTGATACTTAAAATAGCTGTATCTTCTTTGCTGAGGACTAGCCTAATGCTTTACTTTTATTATATTTGCTTGTAGCTTAGCAGCCTAACTTCAGCTGGTCCTTGCTTCACTTTCTGGGCAGTATTTTTGCCAGGATGGATGAATGGTGGGGTAAATAAGGCATAAGTAGTTCACTTAGCGTTACGATCAAGGGCCGGAATAAAACTTGCTTCTCTGCTAATGAAAAGCTGTCAGTGAGGTGCAGAAGAACGAAGCTGTCTGCAATCACAAGGCAGGTAATGAACATATCCTGGTGGTGGCTGCCTGGAAGCTGCCCACATCTAAGAGGTCCCATTCATATACACATTTATTAAAAAGTAAATACATATGTATAGGAACACACACACGTGGAGATACACTGAGAATTGGTTTTGCAGCTTGCAGGCATGGGATCTCTTATGGATGTTTGCAGCCCCCCTGGGTGTGCACGAGATGTCTGTCAGTAAAGAAGTCTCAAACCTACTCATTTCCCACGTAGATATTTTTATCCCAGGGCCTACATCTGCCTCACTCCTCCAAAGATACATGAGCGAACGAAGATACTGTCTCAGAGGGAAACAATGGGCCTTTGAAAGCACTGCCAAAGAGAAAAAAATAAAGAGATGTCATAAAGCTTTAGTCTCAGAGCTGGGTGGAAAACTGACTTCAGGCATCTTCATGGTAGCATGCTCTTCCCTATCTTCCAAAGCCTGCTCCAGCGTTCAGAAATAAAAACTATGTTTGTACCCAGTTCTGACTGGGAAATGACTCAGCCTTTGAAGATTTCATGCTGCTTCTCAGTGAGTGTTTTTAGGTGCAGAGACTGGGGTGCAACTGAATTTAGTGTTGGGCATCTTCTGAAGTCATTCCTGAACAGGACTTGTGGAAACCTCCTGGGTTCTCTGGACAGGTTAGCCCTAGGCCAGGCATCCCATTCAACCTAGGGCATAGTTTGATATTCAAACTGGAGCTTCTGCAAGGTGACACAAGCCACAAACTCTTTTTTGTGTCAGAACCCACCCAAAATGAAGATTTTTTTTTTTTTGTGTCCATCTGTTCTCCTTGTACAACCACTGAATGCAGATGAAAGGTGGTTTTTCCGTGAAGGTATTCTGAACACCACCTTTTCTATGTGCAGCACCTAAGCTGAATGTGAGGTGGCTTTCACTGAAGAGTAGGTCCCAAAACAGAGCAGTTTACTGCAGGGGAAAAAGAAATGAGGGAACACTTGCCACTGATTCTCAGCACACCATGTTGTGAACTCAGCAAAGGAATACATGAATAAACACATGAAGCTACAAACACCTTTACAGGCTGGTTCCTAAGTATCTTTTCAATATCAAAGTTTGATTTGAGGCAGTGCACAGTGCACAGTGATGTGCAGGAATTTACAATAATAAAGCATGGAGTATGTCTGTGAGTGGATTCCAAATGTGAATTCATTTTCAGAATGCAGTACCTTTACAGTGAGAAGTTGCAAGGATGCTCCATCACGTTATATGTAAACCCTATGCAGAAACTGTGGGCCTAATGGATACTGTCCAATAAAGGGAGAAAGCAGAAGCACTCCCATCAGCCTCAGTCTGTGCTTCAGGTCACTTAAATCCTCTCTCTACACACAAATATCTCCTTGAAAAGGAAAATCTCCTATTTTCCATTTTCAATTTTTATATTGTCACGTTTGCTAATGACTGCGTGAGTCTCTTGAGCTTACTTGGAAGCTGCCACTGTTCTGTGTTTAAGGTGCAAGGGGAATTCTTTATTGGTTCATTTCTGTGTTGTAAGTAGAAGCCTGTGATTTTTATGAAGCTATAAGAGTCCAGCATTTGTTTTCTGGTTGTATCAGTCCTGCTGAATTAGGATTTGTGTTCTGCAAGATATTTCTGTGGACAATGATGGGGATGATAAATGTTGACGTGTTTGCTGTTTCTGGAAGAAATGCTCTAGTTGAAGTTTATACAAGTTGCCTCTACACCTTGATCTGTAAATACTTGTTTAATTTGAATAATTCCATGAATTTGGCTGATACTTTTCAGAGACTCTAAACTATGAGCAGAAAAGCTTTGCTGGACTGCAGTCTTCGAGCAAAGTAGCACTGCTTCCTCAGTTTCACTGATCTACCAGACACCTAAACACTGCCTCTTCTCTCAAGGGCTTTCTAGACCATCCAGCTTAACATAGAACACCCTTTATTTTGGGTTTAATAAAGCTTTATGGCAGGTCCAGACCGAACTGTAGGTTTTGTCCTTGCAATGAGGTAACTGCTGGTTATTGAGCATTTGATGCAGGAACATGAACAAAGAAAAGAACATGGACAGTCTTTTATCTTCAAGAGTGGATAGGGAAGGAGAAGGAGAGCAGGACATATGCCAGCTTGGCAGTGTTCTTATGTTTATGGGTTTGGGTTTTATTTGTTTGTTGTTTGTTTGTTTGTTTGTTTGAAATCTGTGATTATTTTTCAGACAAGCATAGAAATTGCAGTAAATAGACTTCGGGTGGGTGTTGATTTCCTGAATCGAGACTAAATTAAGGATTCAGACACTGAGAGTCTCTCTTGCAGTCTGGAAGCTGTGGGGGGCTGCCCAGCATGTGTTGGGCCCACAGCCCCTCGGCACCAGGGAGCCGCAGTGGGAAGGGCCGCAGCCAGCCACTGCCATCCTGTTCTGGCACAACCTGATTGCACAGTGAAGCCATCCTGGCAGAGACCATGTCTTCTCCATTAGCACCCTGCCTACCATGACACGGCTTTTTGGGAGCACTGTGGGCACTACTGCAGTGTCCCCACCTGAATATGACAATAAGTAATATTAATTACACGTGGTTTCTCCAGTAAAAGACAGAGGCAGTGCTGGGGGCATCCTTGTGCCTGCCCTGACTGTGCTGGACTGGGGAACCTTTCTGAAGAGACTTTCTCTGAGCACTGAGCCTTGCTGTAGCAGAGGCCCAAGTTAAGTGTCACAAACATAACCCCACTGAAGAGGTATTAGGTATTTAAAGACATTAAGCAAATAGATAAGTATTTGAATTACCACCCAGGCTCTTCTTGATGTATGACTCTTCTTCACCCTGTATGACTTTGGTATGGCATCTGAACAAAAAAAGGCAAAAAGGCAAAAAAACTCTCCAAAAGTTGGCTACAAACAGATGCTTGTTGTCACCACACATAAAGCGCTTTTTGCTACCTTGTTTAGAAAAACAAGCCAAAACATGTTTTACTGAGCAGGAGGGATGCTATATAGAAATTCTTTCTCTCGGTTGCAAATGCTTGCTGGCAACTTTTTTGATGTATGAAGTGCAAAACTGTGTGTCTGACTGTGACATATAAGTGTTTGTGAGCATCTGGGAGTGCTGATTAGCCATGTTTCAGCTCCATTGCTGGGGAAACAGTCACTTAAATTGGAATTGGTGGTTCTGAGAAGCCTGGTTCTGCTTCAGGGTGCCTGTACCCAGCACAGCCACTGATGGAGGGTGTGGGCACAACAGCCTGGAACTGTGCATGAGGGAGGGGGACAGTGTCACCATCAGCATGCTCTACTGTAATTTGGTGAGGCTGGCTTATCAGAGCCCTACCAAACCTGTACTAGGGCCAGTTGCAGCTTGTCTCATGGACATGGTGACTAGCCTTTCCTTACTGAAGCTGAGTTGGTTCTGCTTTCTCCTCCATTTAGAGACAAACCTAAGGCTGTGTTCAAAAGCCCTGAAGATGTGTGAGAATGTGTACAAGCTGCAGCAAGTACCGGAGCAAGATGGATGGCAGCTTGCAAAAGTGCCCTGCTTTCTCAGAACACCATTTCTGCTGTCTTGTCAGGCTCATGGTGTATTCAGAGCTTGGTTGTGGTCTCAGAGAAGATGCTACTCTAGCTAAATTCATTCATGCAGCCAGCCCTGCTATGTGTGGGTCTGACTCTACCAAGGGGTTGTGGTGCCTCTTACATACCATCTGACTGCTAATGGGATTGAAAATCTAGGTGCTGAAAAACTTTGCAAATCTTCACAAATCTTCATGGAGGCCACTATATGGTCCTTGGAAAATTCATTTCTGCTGGGCAAGTCCCAGACGTGTCTGCAGAGCTTCTGCTTCCTTTAGCACAGTCTGTCTCACTGGCAGCGCCCAGGCTGGAGATAGGCTGGATCGGCTCATCAGTGTGTTCCACACACCGAGAGCACAAGGTGGCAATGGATCCACCTGGACCGTTCCCCAGCAGTTCCTGTTGACCTGCCCTGGTGAGTTGTGCTTGGTGTGCACGTCTCTGTAGGCACTTACCACGAGAAATGGGAAAAAGCTGCATGAGGGCACCCTAGGGGGATCGAGTAACCTGAGCAGGTCCTGGTCATTAATGAGAATCAGTCTTCAGTGAGGTTTTGGTGCAAGTTTTCTAGTAATAGAATAGTGTGCATTTGTTATGGGACTTTTTCTTCTTATTTACTCTCTGAATTCTTTGGTTGCTAATTTTGAAGCTGCTGTGGAAAACTAGTAATATCATCAGTGAGTCATACAAATGGTGATGGGCTCTTGAGAGATTAATATAGCTTGTCTTTTTGGTAAAAAATGAGAAACCTTCAAGGAAGTGTTCATTGCTTGCCATTTTTTTCATCTCAGTCCCCTCTTCTTGGAGCTAAATTTGTTCATAAAAGCCTAAAATTTAAGACAGGATCACTCAGTTTTTAAAAACATATGCAAATGTTTCATCCAAGCTCTGGATTAACTGGGCAGAGTGTCAACATTGCAGTATATGCCAAGGGGAAGATAATAAATGTTTCAAAAGGGGCCTTACACAGTTATTCACTGACTCTTACCCCAGCCCCCTCATAAAGAGCCATTGACAGAAGTGTACAACATTAGTTCAGAAATGTTTTGCACATTATAATGCTAATTAAATGCAGATGATATGAAAGACCAGTTATTTTCATATCTAAATTTCCTTCTCTTTCAGGCCCTGCAATTCCTGTTGGGGTGGATGTGCAAGTTGAAAGCTTGGACAGTATTTCTGAAGTTGACATGGTATGTAATCCTCTTCTAAGCCTCAATTACTTCTAGTCATAAAATGCCATTCCCACCTGCAACCTGTGGGCTTCAAATTACTGGTCAGATCAAAGTAATAGCAGCATATGTGAAATTCAAAGATACTGATATTCAGAAGCAGACTTGATAAAACCAGGTGATCAAAGGCTCTGTATCTCCAGTTAAAGATTAAAAGCATGAAGGAAAAAAACCAACCTTGAATGGGAGAATAATCAGTGCTATGAAAGATCTATCACAATGAAAAATACAAACAGCTCCATATGAAGGTAGGAAGGTATAAGGTGAAGTTCAAATAAACTGCTGCAGGAGTTTTCTTCCTTTTCTTTCCTTCCCATTCATTGAGTTCACATGAATGTTCATATTTGGGGGGGGATGTTGTTTCTTTGGGGTTTTGTGGGGGTTTGTGTATTTTTTGGTTTAGTTTTGTGTTTTGGTTTGTTTTTTTTTTTTTGTTTTTTTTTTGTTTTTTTTTTGTTTTGTTTTGGTTTGGTTTGGTTTGGTTTTTTTTTGTTGGGTTTGTTTTGTTCTGTTTTTTAGTGTAGGAAATGGAATAAAAACACTGGAAAGGGAAGTGGAAAGAGGAACAGAGGAGAAGAAGCTTCTTAGTTCCTTCCTCCTTCTGCCTTTTCCTCCCTGTTCTTGGGTATCTTCTATGGTCTAGACAAAACACAAAGGAAGAGCTTTAGCTTCAGTTGTTTTTACTGTGGTGCAATAACATCTTCGTCTTCATCCCATTTTGGAGGGGTTGGACTAGATGACTTTTAAAGGTCCCTTCCAACCCAAACTATTCAATGTTCTAGGATTAAACATGGGAGCTTGGCTGCCTGGATATTAAAAGAGAGGGTTTGGGGGTATGCATGCAATGAGGTGTGTAGGAGGGAGGTGTCCAGCACAGGGAATGACCCCCACAAGGAGTGTTGGTGCTCTAGTACATCAAGATAATGTTAGAGCAGCAAAGAGACCTAATTAGTAAATAATTCACAGTAATTTCTGTAAGGAGTATCTGATTTCAACATGCCTGTCAGAAAGCTTTGAGGTCAGTTCTCTCCCTTGGCTGTTGATAGCTCCTTAGTCCTATTTTCTCAGCAAATGACAAGCACTTTCTACAGCAGTTTCTGACATGTATTTGGGGTGGAAGAATGGTCTCTCAGGTCAGTCTGAGTTACATTGGTTTGTTTTTCCAACAGACTGTCCTGGCATGGGTGTTTGAAGAGAGGAGAGAGGGCAGTAAGCTGTCAGCACAGCCAGGGGACCAGGGCTCCCTGTGCTTGCAGCAGGGTGCCCTCCTTGGCTGCCAGTTGCAGGCAGGGCTTATCTCAAACTGCTCTGAAGGGTTAGTGGCCCTGGAAATCAAGTACTCTCAGCTGGGCAGTCTTTACGTGCTCATTGCTTGAGCAGCACCTGGTGCTCCAAAGAAGCACCCGACTGAAGCGTCAGGAGCCACAACCCACCATATCTGCAAGACAGTGCATGTCAATGGGAGCAGCTGGGGGATGTTTAAAGCACTTGGGTTTAAAACTGGTGCCTGTCTGGTCGGCATGGATGGGCTGCTGCTGTGTGCACTGACAGGGCATGCTCTTGGGGCTGCCTGGAGCATGGCACAAATATGAAATGTGCTCTTTGCTCTGTGCAAAACTGAGGTACTTGTGTACGCTGATTTGCTGTGCCCCTGGCATACACTATCCTTCTCTCAGTTTCTTTTAAAAACTTGTTTTGTAAGGGATTTTCCTACTTGTGAGTGCTGAAATAAACCCATTTTCTTGCTTTTAAATAGCATGTGTGCTGGTCAGAAAGGAACAAGCTGTCAACAAACTGCCTCATTTGACTCCTGACACGAAAAACTTCCTTAATTTAGATTTTATACTTAGAAGCTCTTGTCAGCTGTCACTTTGCCTTTGGTGCCTTTGCAGCATTTGGTGCAGCATGTGTTGACCATTGGAGAGAGAGGAGAGTTGACCATCGTGTTGGCCTGTTTGGAGAGAGAAAGGGGGTGAGGATGAGAGAGGAGAAGCTCCCACCTGATAGAAAAGGGAAAGGGGTGACCTGGAATGTGGTGTGCCCCTTCCCATGTTGTCCCTACAGGCAGTCTCTTCCACCTCTTCTGTGGTGGCTGTAAGCTTTGCTGTGGTTGATGCCACATTGGTCCCTGTTCCCCTGCGCTCTGATGATGGAGCTGCCCAGAGGCATTTTACAGCCGCAACCTCCAGCTGCCTGGCTGTCCTGGTTTTGGCTGGGATAGAGCTAATTTTCTTCTTAGTAGCTGGTACAGGGCTGTGTTTTAGATTTAGTATGAGAATAATACTGATAACACAGTGTTTTGGTTGTGGCTAAGTAGTGCTTACCCTAAGTCAAGGACTTTTCAGTGTCTCATGCTCTGCCAGTGAGGAGGAGCACAGGAAGGGACATGGCCAGGACAGCTGACCTGAACTGGCCAAAGGGATATTCCGTACCACTGAAGGTCATGTCCACTATATAAACTGGCAGGAGTTGGCCAGGAGGGGCCGATTGCTGCTGGGGGACGGGCTGGGCATTGGTCAGTAACTGTATTGTGCATCACTTGTTTTTTTCTGCAGTTTCGCCCCTCTCTCTTTTTATGACCCTTTTCATTAATCTTACTATTATTGTTTACTTTATTTCAATTATTAAACTGTTCTTATCTCAACCCAACTTTTTCTCATTAACTTCCCTGTCCCATTGTCTGGGGGTGGGGGGAAGGAGGAGTGAGCAAGTGTCCATGTGGAACCTAGTTGCTTGCTGGGGTTAAATTACAACAATGATCCTCCTCACCTGGAACCTCATGTCCCTCCATCTCATGCCATGGGCAATGGACTGGTGACCCTGAACATCTAGGCTCTTTTTTACCCCTTTTTTGACTTTTGCTGTAACTTGCACTGACAGTCAGTTTGTTACCGTTTTTCACCAAACTGATTGCTTGGTTTTGTTTTTAGAAAGTGGTTAGGAAGAGGTCCTGGGCTGTGTTGCTGCCTCTTCAGGCTTGGCAGCTCCCATAACCCCTCGTTTAATTGGGAATATAAAGAAATGAAATGTATATGATCTCTCAGAATGAGAGAGTAGATTCAGCTCTGAAAGCAACAGCTGCCAGGTTGGGATCAACAAACAGATGTTTTCCTTTATGTGACTGAAGCTCCTGCCCACTCAACAAGCTTAAAAAGGGAACTTTATTTATACAATTGTATGGTAGTCATTTGGTTGCTGTTTGCAACAATTTAGTTCCTTTGGGGATAAATTGCTTAATGTTTAGCCTCATTGTTGAGGTAACTTTCACAGTTTTTCCTCTAGATCATGCCATTGATACCATAGTCCTGCAAGATAATTTTGCCAGGACTGAAGAATTGTTTCTGTGGGGCATTGCTTCACTCGAGGCATAGTTATATCCCTTTTGTGACTGAACATGTACTGTGGTACATTCGTTGGTTGTTTATGCTCTGTTTTGACTGAAATTATTTTGTTTGGAAAACCTATTCACAGAGAGCATTGGCCTAGGAAAGAAACAGGAGTTGAGAGTGGAGAGAGTTCATCTACCTGGTAGGACTGAGTTGTCTTTCTGATGTGTCCCAGTTGTAGAGTGCAGCACTGACAGACCTCTCTCTGGTTCTCTTCATTTTTTTGTGAAGGATTTCACTATGACCTTATACTTAAGGCACTACTGGAAGGACGAGCGTCTCTCCTTTCCCAGCACCAACAACAAGAGCATGACCTTTGATGGCAGGCTGGTGAAGAAGATCTGGGTCCCCGATGTCTTCTTTGTGCATTCCAAGAGGTCCTTCATTCATGATACCACCACAGACAATATCATGCTGCGAGTGTTCCCTGATGGTCATGTCCTCTACAGCATGAGGTAACGATGCAGCCCTGCTGCTCCTGAGCATTCCCTGGGGCTTTGCTGTCAATTTTGCTCCTGGCTTGACTTTGGTGATCACCAGGACTGCCTCTTCCAATCCTGCTACTCACACTGCAGATGCAGAGCCCTGTTTCCGGAATGTGCAGTACAAAACGCTTTGCAGGAAACTGCAAGAAACTATGCTTTGGGGAGTAACAGAATAATCTCCTCCCAGGGCAAGCATGCCCTCAACTCTTTGCAGTCAGTGGAGGGCTTAGTCAAGCAGGAATGTTCATCCCAGGGTCAGTCTGTGATTAAACTGGAAGCTGCTGATATACCAGATGGTGACCTCTATAATTATCCTATTTTTCTTCCTGTTTGTCTAGAAATTTGTTGTTGTTGTGGTGGTGGTATTTTCATGTCAATGTAAAGGTTTAAATTTATTGACGCTGAAACGGCAGTATTAAAGACAGTCTGGTTTTCTAGTAGATTTGTTGGCTGGAAGAATCCTGAGGCTCGTTTGTCATGACCTGGAGGGTTACCCATCCTGTGAGTGTACACAGATTGTGACAGTGGGTTTGCAGAATTCTGTAATACACAAGGACATGGAGGCTTAATCCTCTAAACTTCTCTACCTTATTACAGATTACCAAAAATACTACAAAAATCACCGCTAGCAAGTAAACTACCACAAAATCACTGCTACCTATGATTAATAAAGTGAATACTAATATACCTATCAAGCTATTGCAAATTACCATCAACAATCAATAATTTAGTATCCATAAATCACGTGGCAGCAGCCAATAACAGCAATAACTAACTAGGTACATACTTTCACGGGTTACTTATCCTTAGTGGAGCAACTCATCAACAGTATACCAGCAGGTGCACTTAGGATAGATTGCTTGCATGAATGCATAATACTGATACCAAGTGATTCCACATCATCAGGTGAACCAAGTCATCCTATGAATGAAGGACAAACTGAAACAGCCTCCAAAGTGGGCCCAGAGGGGACCAACGAGACAACAGACAGAGTGGCACTTCAGAAATGCTCTGAGTCATAGGGTCTGGAGTCAGCCAGGCATCCCCAGTGAGAGCCCAAGAGCTGGTAGAAAGTTCATGCAGTGAATTCAACCCATTTAGGAATGGAAAAGTATGTGCAGCATGAAAAAGTCTCAAGGCTTTATTTTGGGTAAAAGTCATGTCCTCCTTATATCCAGAGATATAAGGGGGTGTAGGACGCTACCACTTTGAGCAGCCAGTAGGTGCTGTTAATTTCTATTTTTCACCTGTGATGGCCAATAGATAAGGATGTTTTCTGTTCTGTCAGACAAATTTTTATTTTCCAGACAATAAATTGCCTTTTAAATCCCTTTCTTTTTGAAGTTGTTGATGGTATTCCAGGATGTCTCCAGTTTCTAGGTACATATGTCTGCATTTCAAAGAGGCCAGCTGTGCTTCTCAAGGATGTGTCTGGTTGCCAGGCTGGCAGGCCTTTCTCTGTCAATATATTTCAGAAGGCAGTTTTTCTGCTCAGTAGTTTCCCCTTCTAAGCAGGCCACCTTTATGGCTGCTCACATCAGCATCCCAGCAGTTTTCATTTACTTCAAAAGAAGGCAAAAAGACAAGTGGAGAAAAATAGACTTCCAGAGGAGAAAAGCTAAAGAGCCCAAACAAAAGGATGTTTCCCCAGGACAGAAAACATGCTCTCAGTGTACAGAGACCTTGGAATGTTTTGTAGCCAAGGATTTCTATTCTAGGATCTTTCTGGAACTTACTCACCTAGACTATGGCAAAATGATTCTCAAAAACTAGGAAAGGTTTTCTATAAAGTTTGATTCAGGAGGCTCTTTTCTCTTTGAAGAATAAGCATAGTGGGCAATATTGTCCCAAGTAGGACAATATCCTGCAGAACCAGGGTGTCCTAACGTTCACTCTAAAGCATAGTTTCATAGTCCAAATACAATTCTACTGTATTTATTTTAAAATCCCAGGACAAACCTGTAAAATCACAAAGAAAGATGTGCATGTGTGTAAGAAAGAGATTATGTGTCATACGGCTACTTTACTTTGCCTGATTTAATGATGAAAGTCTCAACTTTACCAAACGCCTAAGAACCCTTTCCCTGTTATGAACCCATTTAATAAATCCATTTATTGCATGAGAGGTCTGAATACCCACACCTTAACTAAGCACTTAAAGACACTGTGTATTTTATTGGAACTCGGTCAGGATGAAGGTGCCATAAAGCAGGAGAGACAAGAAGCAGAAAGAAAAATAAAGGATGAGGTTAGATGGAAGCTTGGGTCAGTACTGAGAAGAGAAGACCGGGAGGAGGGTAGGGACCTTCTTGACAGCTGTTTCTCCGTGTAACTGAGTATCTGTTTCCATTCCTCACACCCTACAGTTCTTATGTTCTGCAGCAAACCACTTGTTAGCAATGCTCAACAACCAAAATGAAGGAGCAAGCATTTTTAATGGCAAACATTGGTTCTGTTTAGATCTGCTCGTTTGCACAGGTGCAGAGTATTTACTTTCAAAATTTTCTGTGATCTGTCAAGGAAGTGATGTGAATTTTTAATGTTACCCACAAGAGAAAAGACTGTGAGTTAACCACAGCTGACTGCACGAGAGTAAAATGGATAATTTAATACATAAAATGAAGAAGAATGAGAATCTTCATGGCATTTGGGCATAATGGTGTTTAGGACACCCAGAATGAGATCTGACTGTTGAAACATGGGTGTCTGGTGGTACTGGAAATGCCCTCATATGTCTTGAGATGTCTGCAAGGGGTTGATACTGGGCTGAGGGACATTTCACTCCTCATTTCGGCCTTAGGCTTTCATGGGCATCTACACACTGCACTCTAATTGAGGAACATCTTACTGATGAGCTGATTTTCTGTGCTGTCACTGACTAATGAATTATTATTGACCACAGGTTGTACTGTAGTTCAGGTGATGCTGAGGAAAGAAAATAACACATTGTAATGAGACTGAGTTATACAATGCTTAAATGCTACACACAATTAGGGGAGGTCATTGCCTCAATACACCTGGAGCATGTCCCCAGAAACATTCTTTAAATTTTGCTTAAAAGGCAAAATTTTGCTGTAGTTTTATGGTAAAAATGAACAGTGTGAGCTTTTCAGGGGTGATGAGTGTGTAGGTCAGGGTAGGATTTGGATCTCAATCCCTGCAACAGAAGAAAAGTTCTTTATCAACATCTGCAATGAATCCAGAAAATGGTCACAGTCAACGTAAGTTGGCTTCTGAAACGATGAGTCACAGCTGATTTGAGCCTAATAAATTGAGAGCTCCACTGCAAATCCGTCTGCAAGAGAAAGTTCACTGACCCACTGGAAAATTTCTTATGTAACAATGTGCACAACTGGACTAATTTAAAAACTGAAGCTGTGATTGCTTCAGCTCTTTAGCTTAGATATAACAGAGGCAGATCTCACTTCCTGAAAACCAGCTGCGTCCCTTTTACATCCCCTGCCCCAGAAATACACCCCTCAGATTAAAATAATTTGATTGAGAACAGAAATAAACTGCTTTTTTTCCTTAATAATATATGTACTGGAGCAATTCTGTGGCTTGCAGTAAGAATGGTCATGTTCCTCAGACTTGGGTCATTCTTGGGGTGACTATGGAGGGAACTGAGCAATGGGGGAAATGAGGAAACCTTAATCAAGCTGTACATAAGGGAAACTTTAAATATAAATGGTGAAGTTATTTTATGTTATTGCTTTGTAGGGAAATACATGGATATAAAATACAGAGGACTGACTGTACTGGCATTACTATAACTGTAACGTTCCAGATAGTGCTTTAGTTCCTTGTAGATACTGAAATTACATCTTCCTTTGGAGTTTCTGTGTATAATCCGTCTCACTTGAACTTGGATAATTGGTAATTTTCCTGGGGATTTTATGCTACCATCATGCATAATTTCTGGCTTTAAAGCTGCAGAGCAATTATCTGCAATAACATTCTGCTTGATTGCTCCTCATAGAAACCAATTTTTCTTCTCATTTTCGACTTCCAGGGTCACAGTGACAGCAATGTGCAACATGGACTTCAGCCACTTCCCGCTGGACTCTCAGACATGTTCTCTGGAACTGGAAAGCTGTATGTAGTATCTCTGTTTCTTGCTAGATGTGTTTCATGGCTGGCTGCACAAACACATTTCGGAATACTTTTTATTTCAGAGCCTGAAAAGATAGTTCACCAGAGTTACTAAGAGACTTTCTATTGGCTCAACAGTGTTGTGTGTCTAGCCCTTACGCTGCTAGACAGGGGAATTTGCAAGGAAAACATCCTATGACATAATCCTGATCCTGCAAACACTGTGACCTGGGCTAAGCCTCTTTGGGAAGGATTTGTTCTGTGGAGAAAGTAATGTGAACAGTAAAATTTTCATGGCTGTTCTGTAAACTTTCTCCAGTGTGGACTAACATCTAGTTGTTTTGAGGTCCCCCCAGCTATTTAACTGAAATATTCCTCTACAAACAACAGAATCACAGGATAATTTATATTGGCATTGAGGTCAGCTGCTCCTTGAGTTCAGCTGCTCCCTGCTGAGAGCAGGGAGACCTTTATAGTGGATTGCTGTGTCCAGTTGGGTTTTGAACAAGGTAAAGCAAGCTCCACAACTTTTTTGTGCAACCTGTTCAAATATTTGACAGCTCTCATCCTGAAAAAGGTTACTTTTAGCTGCTTGGAAACAATCCTTTGCTGTGACTTGCATCCCTTGCCTCTTGTCCTTTCATTCTCCATCTTGATGAAGAGTCTGAGAAAAGCCTGCTACCATCCTCTCTATGACCCTCAGCAGGGCAGCAGCTGGACCCCACCACAAACTGCTCCTCTTCCAGTGGAACAAACCCCATTCCCCCAGTCTCTTATGCCATGTGCTCCAGGCCCTAACCATCTTGATAACCCTCTTCTCATTCCCCATTCCTGATACCTAGTGTGATAACAAATTCTGTAAGTTTTACATATACACTTTAAAAATATTTCTGGACTTTTGCTTCAGATCATACCTTTCCTTTTTGCTTTTATCATTCTAAAACAGTTTGAGTGTTTGTGTTTGAGGTGTCTGCATTTCCTCCTTTCTCTAAATTCCAGTGTGTTACCCATGATTATTTTCTGAGCTATTCTTATCAGTTAGCAATACCTTATCAATTAATTTTGATCTGTGATGTTCAGAAGAGTACCATTCTAGCTTTCATTCCATCAATGTAGAGTAAAACGCGGGTGTGTTTCCTTGAATCAGGGTAACCTGGATTTTTGTTTTATTTGTGATATATTATATGATGAGATCTTTTTAACTCAGTGCTGTTAGCAAGCTTATTTGTGGCATTACTTCATGCCAAAGACCGCATCTGTTAGCATTTGTCGAGCCTCCCAGCTAAAGTCACTTCACATCATGTTTCTTCTTTCCCTAAGATGCTTACACAGATGAAGATCTGATGCTGTATTGGAAAAATGGGAATGAATCTCTGAAAACTGATGAAAAGATTTCTTTGTCTCAGTTTTTGATACAAAAATTCCACACTACATCAAGGCTGGCTTTCTACAGTAGCACAGGTATTGATCTTTTCTGATTTAATACTACTGCTAAAACTAATGCTGTACTAACTGCCTGTTAAGGTAGTTAATTAACTGTGAGAGGGCTCTTGGGATTATGTCGCTGAAATGTAGTTTACATGGTCTGGACAATACATGTTTTGAAAGCTAAGTTTCTTTTTTTCACTACTCTTTAGAGTTAAAATAACAAAAGAAAGATCTTACCTCTCTGTGCCTACTGTCAAGGCTCTTTTCAATGATTCCGGATTTCCTCCTCTCTCAAAGGTTGGTACAATCGACTCTACATAAACTTCACTTTACGTCGGCACATCTTCTTCTTCTTGCTCCAAACCTACTTCCCTGCCACCCTCATGGTCATGTTGTCCTGGGTGTCCTTCTGGATTGATCGCCGAGCAGTTCCTGCCAGAGTCTCTTTGGGTGAGAAAAGTTGCAAAAAGCCATGACTGTGTGAAAATCTTTGAATGTGAAAATTTTGGCAGGACTGGGCAATCAAATGTTGGTTTTACCTGATGATTAATGTAATATAAAACTTGCAGTTTGTCTGAAGTCCTTCCTCATTAAGCAGTCTTCCTGACCTACACTTTGCTCAGGACAGAAAGGGGTGTGATCTTAAAAGTATTTTTGAGCAGAGAAGTTTCAGTACTTATGAGCTGATGAATCAAGACTTTTTCCCTATTGTCCAGCCCTGCAGTTCTAAGACATACATTCCCATTGGTGAGGGTAGAGTTTCACAGGAGTTCAGGTACCTACAGGGATTTAAAGGCTTCTGTTACAGTTTTCATGAGTGCCTTTCAAGAGCAGGATCCTGCCATGTCCCAGCTGCCACAGTGAACATCCCAGCCCAGGTATGTGTCTTCCCAACCAGCCAACTGTGGCCAGTGGTTTTCTCCAGATTGCCTGGAGGGTGGCAATGTGGCACATCTTAACAAAGCTGGGAAAGAAAGGCAGCAGCAAGGGATTTAGCCCTATCAGCACCTAAGTACTTTGGTAGTGTGATTATAAAATCATAGAATGGTTTGGGTTTGAAGGGATCTTAAACATACATAATCCCAACCACCCTGCCATGGGCGGGGACACCTCCCTATAGACAAGGTTGCTCAAAGCCACATCCAACCTGGCCTTCAAACATGTTGTTCCATCTGGTGCACCCCTAGGGACACTCAGGCATCTCTCTAACTCCAGGCCTCAGACAACAGTGAGGCAGTGAAAGGAGCGTAGCTTTCCTCTCTCATCTGCAGTGCTGAGGATGAGGGGCCACTAACCCTGAGGTGAGGCAGATGTCGGGTTTCTCCTTTCCCAAGGGTGTCTTGCACTGAGAACCCTGTGTTTCTGGGGTAGGGTGGTCCCTCATTTGAAGGAGTGGAAAAGCAAAGAAGAAGCTGTTTGAAATTCTGCACACACCAATCTGCCTCTCTGGATATCTAAAACCCATCAGTCAGAGCTTTGTCTATGTCAGGACTGGAGGAAACTCCACTTAACATAAAAAGGAGCTGATTTGTTTATCACTCCACACGTAGGTTAAAGGCAGGCAAAAATATAAAACAAAAAATCTCTGAATATTAATATGTAAGGCTTCCAATACTAAAAGCATAAACACAGTATTCCAGCCCTCAAGTTTATTTCACCTAGAGAGCTACGCGCTGGAGAAAACAGATGAGAAGAAGGAGTCAGAAGTCTGCTCCATTGAAAGAAATGTGTTTGGTTTCTTTTTTTTTTTTTTTTTTAAATTGTATCCTGATAAAAAGTGAACCACATTAGCTGTGTTCACAGCAGTCACTGTTTTGAAATGGCTGAAGTAATGATGAATGCTTTTTGACTCTGTTTTCTCTGTTTAAGAGTCTTTGGGAACAGGTCAATATTCTTCTCTTCATGACAATCCAAAGGATATATTATTTTGCAGGACTATATGTATACCTATCTAAGTATATATACATATGCACACGTGTGAATATATATACATACTCACACATATATAAATACATGTATTTATTTATAAGCATATCCACACATTTATCTATATAATACAATGGTAGTTGTTCAAAATGTTTTGATTTCCACAGCTTTAACTGGAGACAAATATTTCTGGAGTTAAAAGCATAAAACTTTTCTTTTGCATGGCTTTATGAGAAACATTTTATCCTTATTGCCTGTCCCTTTTAAGATCAGTGATTTACATCAAGTCCTCTTTATCTGTGACCAAAAGTCAATACTAATTTGCTTCCTGGCAGTGCCTGTAACACGGAGTGGTACAGCTGGGAAACAGGGGTCTCTGTCACCACTGGTTTTAGCAGTAAGGGTAAGGTGTGTTAAAAATGTGTTTTTGCAGCACTGTGTTATAAACCCTGGAGATTAAGAGAGTTGAATCCTGTTCCTAGAGAAATCATTGCCCCTTAAAACTCAACTCATCATGAGCACAGAAGTGTAGGCAGTGGAACAGTTCTGCACTGGCAAAAGAGATACTTAACACATATTTATTTGATATTGAACATATCTGAGAGCATCATGTAAACCATAATTTCCAGGTTTTTTTCTAGAAACAAAAAGCCTTATATATTGTATCAGTCAATAACATTTATTTCCCTTGGTTCTGTCCAGGGATAACCACCGTGCTGACCATGTCCACGATCATCACTGGGGTGAATGCCTCCATGCCTCGTGTTTCCTACATCAAAGCAGTGGACATTTACCTGTGGGTCAGTTTTGTGTTTGTCTTCCTCTCGGTGTTGGAATACGCGGCTGTGAATTACCTGACCACGGTGCAAGAGCGGAAGGAGAGGAAACTCCAGAAGAGGGTGAGAAAAACTTCTGTTCATCCATTTATTCCTGTTTTCCCTCATGGCTGATTTGGTCTTTGAATTGACTGATTTGTGTCTGTTAGTGGAAAAACACTGAGTGTAACTGGGTCTTTTTAGAGTGCTCTACCTCAGACTGAATTGTTCACTCCAGAAAAACAGGATTTGACCTCATGGGTCTCCATAGAAACATTAGAGAAGAGGAGAATGTGACCTCAACTGGGGAAGACTGCAACCTGGAACTGTGAGGGAGTGGTGTCATAGGCAAGAAGGGGAAGTATAATACCTGATATTCCACTGCAGCTGCCACGATTCCTGTATTTTTAAGCTAAAGCTGTTATTTGCAGCAAATTAATTTCCTCTCTCTATAGACAGCTGTACTCTGGAAGCTGGATTCAATGGATCTAATAGTAGAGGTGTTCTCCATTACCAAGCACAAACAACAGTCAGCCAAGTTTATGCTTGTACTTCTTAATGCAGTATGAAAGGTCACATCCTGCATCCCTGCAGTTTTTCAAGACCTGACTAGATACAGTCCTGAGCAGCCTGGCTCTGCTGTGAGCAGAACATAAGATTAGAGACACCCTGAAATCTTTTCCAATCTGAATGATCTCATAGACCTGTAAGCCCTTTTTCTTTGCAGTTAGGCAAAACACCGTCAGCTTTTCAATACTAAGGCTTGGGGACCACATTTTTTTCAGTCCCCATACACCCGGGACATCACCATGTTTTGCAGCTTCTTTCTTCCCAGGAGGGCCTCTCCACATTATTTCACAGGTACCATTGGTACCATTGGTCACCTGCTGTCTTTGATTTCTGGATAAATTTGTATCAGCACTTTGGAAATGCCAATGCTGATATCATCTTTCATATGATTTGAGAATGACATTTCCCTCTCTGAACTACTCTGTTGGTTTTGCATGTCCTTCTCTTCCCCTTTCTCTTCTTCCTATGACTTCCTTGAGTACAGCATAGACCACCTAACAGCCCAACACCAACCCCAGATGACATCTCATAAAAGATGTAATTAGATATATTTAAAAAAGCAATTGGAATAAATTTAACAGACTTCTGTGATTAAATGTTTGCCTCTCTCTCTAAAGCCTTGTCAACAACAGTATGATTCTGGAAAGCTACTTGAAGAGGTCCTGAGTAACTTAATCTATTTATCCCCCATCCTAGTTCCCACTTGGGGCCCAGCACTTCTCTGCAACATAAGATAGAGATGCTCTGTGCAGGTGCAGTAAGTCAAATGTGTCTGACTTGCTGCACGTGGGGCATTTTAGCCAGCCCTGCTCAAACATTCAGTCTCCAAAAAAACCATCATCTTACACTTCATGTGAAGTAACAAAAAACATCTTTGCTAGGTCTGACTTGCCTAGAATAAACCTATATTTTTAAAGATGAAAACCCTTCTTTGTCTTTCTGGAGGGATAAAATGCACTTGAGATGGTTTTTACTGTCTGCTAAGTTTTCAGGAATGTTTTCCCACATCCAGCTTGTTATTTATGTCATAAATCTGCCCTTTGTTGAGTCTTGTATGTTGAATTCCATGTTCAGCAAATGCCTTATTACTACCCGAGGGGAAATATTCTACCCAGTCTTCAACATGTGACAATATTAATTCACAGTGGTAGAAACAGTGCTTTTTGGGCTGGACAAAATTCAGGCTAGAGAAATTTCTGACTTCTGATAGTGTTGTCAGCTGAGTTCCCATGACCAAGGAGGCTCTTTGGCAGTTTCTGAATTGTTATTGTAGGGATAGGCTACATAGAGTGAAATTACTTAGCGTACCTCTGCATCTACATGCCTATTTGAGGACAAGTGTAATTTTAGGTTCTGTGAAGGTGGGTTTCTAGCACATTAGGGTGCTGGAAAATTTGGCTGTCAGCAAAGTACATGAAGCCATGGGACACTTAATTTGAGCTGGGGGCTGAGAGCAAATCTGCAGAATTTATTTCTCTACTGAGTTCTCTTTGGTTTAAAATTAGATTTACAAAGAAAACGTGTATCTGTGAAACCAGAAATTGGGCCCTTTTTTTCCATAACATTTACTGCATAAGCTATTTCCACAGATAAAACTGCATCTTGTCCTTGAATATTTATAAACATCAAGACTGAAAAATAGGGAGTTGCAGGACAGGAAGACTGAACAAGAGCTACTTAAGAAAACTTTTTGCTTAGAATAAATATCTGCTAAGCATTTTTTTAACCTCTTCTGAAGCTACTTGTCCAAGCAGTGGAGCTAAACCCTATTTCTTACTTTTGGAACAAAAGCAAAAATCCAAAGTGACTTTTTTTGTTCAAAGAGAAACAACATCTCAACTAAAATTTCAGGCTCAACTGTTTACAAGCTGTCTGTTAATAGAAAGACACAATTCCTGTGGCTCATGTGTTCTTCCTGTGTTCAGCCGTGTTTTTTGTTTGTGCTTCTAGTTTTCATGTTCGTGTGGAATACCTCACTCGAAAACTATGATGCTGGATGGAAACTACAGTGAATCTGATGCCAACAGCCTGGCAGGATATACAAGAAACCAGATGGTACCAGAAGAAGAAAAACAAGAAAAGATAGTTGTGCATTTGGCTATGAGCAATGAATCTAATTCATCAAGGAAGAGAGGCCTGAAGGGTCACGTGGGCTTGCGCATCATCCAGAACACTCATGCAATTGATAAATACTCAAGATTAATATTCCCAGGCACCTATATATTTTTTAATTTGATATATTGGTCTGTCTTTAGCTAAGCATGCTGGCACAGCAGTGACTGAATCAGAAGACATTTACAAAACTCTCTTTTGTTGGTACTTTTTCAGTCTAATCTGGATGCAAAGCCAATAAACGGATTCTTTTATTGCTTCTCCGAAGGGCAAAGGGGAGGACTCCAGTAGGCAACTCCATGCACAGGCATCACGGAGGAACCTGCTGTGCTGGTTGATTTTCAACCCACACCCCAGCTCCTGTTCGCTTTAAGACACATGCCATTTCTCATACTTGAAAATATGTGCTCACCTTACACCCTAAAAGTGCTGTATGTTCATTTGGGGCTGGCCATGCTGGTGGTGCCTGCTGTGTAATGGACAACTAGAAACAGTGCTCATGTGAGCTGTAAGGAATTAGATAAATGCAACTAGCAATGGGGGGTTTGGACGGCGTATCTCCTGTAAGGGAACTGAGCGAAGCCTTTGCTTTTCAAAATCTCTGCTTTTGAGCAAATTATTTTATTTTTCTTTGGCATATTACCATTGTAGCTTTTTCAATTGTTTATTGAAGAACGCCTCCTTTCAGGGTCCAAACTCTGCTTTCTCTGGATAGGACCTTCATCAACACTATTAGGGTAGCCTACTGTCCAAGGTCAGCTGGACTGGTTACAGAGCGCAGGTGGTATGTTTGCATCAGTGGTAAGATTATAAGTAAGGAGCAATGATGAAGCAGAGCTAAGAAGCCCACAGACTCACAGAAGATGGCTCCCAGGGTTCATGGGTAATGGAAGCAGGGAGGATTAGGCATGTATTCTCCCTATCAGTGGAGCACAGCTCATGATATGTAGCACCTACTCTCTAAAACGAGAAGGGGAGCTGATGTGTAGCGTTCACACACATGGAGAGTGGGCAGTGCCCCTGGGACTGGGACCTTACCATTCCCTCCCAAAAAACAGAAAACGGTGTTGAGGGCAGCACACATGGCTTTCAAAGGTTTTCTTGTGAGGAAAGTGCAGCCCACAGACAAACTGTATATCCCCATGTGCCTCTCCCAGTCAACGCAATGCCCTTCTTCTGAATGCGTTCAGGCATTTGGGATCAAAAGGGAGACGTGTCTGCCAGAACCTCTCTCTGCAGAAACAGAGGTATGGCAGAGATTAAATGGCCAGGAATAATATTGTGGGGTCCAAGGTCGATGTAAGGCCTTTGAAGCTGCTGCAAAGCACTGTAACAAGCTTATGTGCTTGGCAGTTCTTTTCTCATCCTATGATATCTCCCCTTCCTTTGCTAACAATACTGACTGCAAAATCCAAATATAGAAATATTATAGCAACAAGACAACAATGCTCAGGTTTGTGTGCTCCTTATTTTTAGAAAACACAGTGACTTTTTGGCTGTGTTGGAGATTATGTACATCAAAATACTTGTTTACCAAGCTGAAACTTAGAGCAGTAGGGGCAGAATTTGAAATGTGAAGGTTAGAATAAAGGAAAAGCAAACAAAAATACCAATGCCACCCTAACTATTTGTCAGCATGTGAAATTTTTTGCTTACCATAGCAGTTATTCTTATGTCCTAAGTCTCAAGGGATGTAAAAGGCGGGAGAGAATTGTCAACAACCCTGTTGGCTGTCAATAATACCCAGTTTTCCCCTCAAATATCACTGCCTAAGTCAAGCAGATGGTGGCACTGATTTACCGAAAACAAAATTAATGAGAGAAACTAAAATTAACAACCATGTTCCTTTTTTGTTAGCCCTGTTAATAACTGACATAAATGGAGTTCTGTCTGATCATGAAAGTGACAAAATACATCCCTGAAACTGCTGGCAAGAAGAGGAGCTATGGGAGGACATGGAAGTGTCTGAGAGGATGGATTGCACTGTACCCCAGCCTGCCGCTTGTCTCCTGATCCACCAGGTCAGTGCATTTACCACCCATCACTTCTGGAGCTGAAACCTGGATGCTTCTTACATTGACAGGTGGAGATTACTACAAGAAAGAGGCAAAAAATATTAAAGAAATAGACCACTCCTTTTTTTGAGAGGTTAAAGCTTGAACATTACGGTGCATTCTTCAGCATTAGCACTTTTGAGTGCAAAACAGGAACCAATGCCCCAGCTGGCAGCAGGACAGTGCAGCAAAGGGACCTTTTCTGGGGAAAGGCAGCAGAATTGCACCATGAAGTCACCAGAGAGCACAGGGAGTGAGAGCACAGGGCCTCCTGTGCCCTCCTGTTTTGCCAGTCTTTCTCCATTGCCCATGGCACGTGCCATTTAACCTCTCAGTGCCTCGTCTCCTCCATCTAGAAAGCGAGGAGATGTAAGATTTACCTACCTCATCAGCTGCCAAGGGGCTTAACTTGCTCAGCTAGAACATGTGTGGGGTGTGGTTATGACTTCTGAGCGGGTTACCCAGTGGGAATCCAATCTTAGTTACCGGCAAGTTCTTCAAATGCATCCTCTGAATCAGTTCAGGTGGAAGAAAGCAGGTTTCTCCCCTGCCTTATAATGCTATTAAAACTCCCCTGCATTATAATGATATAACATAGCCAAACAGCCAAAAAGTGAGTGCTGTCAATGAATAATGCCTCATGGCATACGAAAAACAGGAAGTCCTAGTGCTTTACTTTGCCATTTGTTTTTATTACACCTCCCATTCCCTTAGAAGTTACGACAAAGATGTCCTTTAGATCTATCATAGGATCAGCTGGGTTGGAAAAGACCTCTGAGATCATGAAATCCAACCCTTCTTTGTATTAGCATTGCCCGTAGTTTAAATATCTAATAAGCATCTTTTGGAGAGGATACCTTACTGTTATTTTATTTGCATGTGTACATAAGTGATAGAGATTGATGTCTGTTTCTGCCACACAAAATTATACAGCCTATAAAATCATCAAGAGGGTGTTTTTCCATTAAAGCAAAAAAAAAAAAAAAATCCATACTCAAACTTAGGCACCGCTTACACTTGTTATTAATTAAAACAACAGATGAAAAATATAGATGCAAATAAAGCCAAGACTTCTTCAGGCAGCATTAGGAATTGCATTTTTTTGCTTATTAAGAGAAGAGACTGGCTAGACATGGAGGTAGAACAAATATTTGAAGTGCAGATTGACAATATACTTCACTCTTGATTTCCCCTGGATTACAAGAGACTCCATGAGCGTTGTCTAACTTCCAGTTGAAGGAGACAAACAATGTTTTGAGAAATAGCGCCTGAAGCTAGGCTCTGAATACTGTTTGATGGATACAACCCAATTCTGTGAAGCACTGAGCATCTGGACAATGAACCTGCTGAAGGACAGGATTTTCAGAAGTGCACAGGAGATTTGAGCAGAGGAGATTGGGGTCACTGATGAATATGCCTTCTCTAGACAATGCTGTCCAACTCTGAAGAGAGAAAATGTCAGCTCTGCTTATTTCTACATCTGGCTCCATTGTTATTTTACTTACTTCTAACCAAATCACGTCTCTGAAAAAAAGTAACTACTTAGATATGTACACATATGTATAATGTATATGCAGGTGTAATGTTTAACATAGGAAGACACTTGGAAGTGTACCTATGTTAAATAGTGTCCATATGCGAAATTGTAATATATTGTATGTAAATTACCATTTATTATGCCCAGAAAACTTACTACGTTGAATGGAAAAAAGGCTCTTATTGTCAGCCAAGTCCCAAGAAATGAGGTATTAGCAAAAAAATACGAGTTAACTCACGTTTTCTTTCTGAAAAAGGAGGTGTTGAGAAGGATGCAAGAAATGCTGATGCCAAACCTGTACAACGGGTACACTGTGCTGATTGCTGTAATCAAACCTGGTAATAAAATAACAGATGGAAAGAGTGGAAAAGAGTCCATTTCATGGTTTGAACTTTAAATTTTATTTTAATTCTGTTTGGAGATTTGAATAAACACCTCATTTGTAATTAATTTTAAGTAAAAAGCATCTCAAAAGGTGGAAGAAATGTAGTGCAGGCATGCAAGGGTTTTGAAGTATGCAAAGCTCCTCGGGAAAAACGAGCCGTTAATTACAGATATAAACTATGGAGACATTTTGTGAAAACTGCAGCCCACAACTGAAGAAATTGTAATAATTGCTTTACAATTAGTGGCACATTCTCAAAAACCCAAATGACAGGTATATATCTCAATCTCCATTTGACTACAAATAGGAGCATTTAATTCTTCCTCTGTGCCTTTGAAAATACTGTCTCCACACATCCCGATGGAAGATAAAACCTCTCCGAGGTTCCGTCTGCCCAGTCTCATCTATTATCCCTAACGCAGACAATGGAACTGAAGTAAATGTGCATGGGTGAGGCTTAATAACGGCTGTTGTCTGTCAAATTTCCACAATGGAGAGATTACAGCAAGGTACAGTCTAACTGAGATACTGCCCTGCTGAAATTTAAAGAGCAGGAAATGTATTTTAAAAACAGCAAGAATTTAGCACTATTAAAATTAAAATATAATCCAGTCTCATACTAAGCTGATTAATGCCTTTGCAAAAATGACATTTGAAATTATATATCAGGGTCATTACTTTCCTGGTCAGAGGTATTATCATTTCAGATGAAGTGAGAAGAGTGGGGAGGGAAATCATACACAAACAAGGGCAAGGTGCTGCTCTTGGCATCCAGATCTTACAGCAGGACAGGGGCAACTGCCAGGCTGAGCAGAGCCTCCTGTAGAGGCAAGATTTAGAGGATCCAACTTTTCCAAGGCATTCAGTGCCTGGGAATCACATCACCCTGTGGCAATCCTCGATTTGGGCATGAGAAGGCTATCCTCTGCCAGAAGTGATGGGATCCCCACCAGCTGCAGCATAATCATGAGAGATGGTGCAGTGCAGGTGATACAGCCATTTTGGCTAGAGATTTGGGTTCACCTCTGGCCATGTGAGTCATTAGCTGGTCTTTAGCCAGGGTTTCATGAGGGAGCCACATCCTGTGGCAGCCACACCAACACAAAGAGACTTGCACAGCTCCCAGATGTAGCCCCATCTCTCAGCTCATCTGGCCAGCACCACAGAGATGGGTGAGATCATCGGCATGCCATGAAATGTGTCCCCCAGCCCTCCCTTTTCAAGGTACTCAGGAACCAGGACAGCACTGCACTGCCCGCTCCTCGGAGCAAGCAGCAAAGTCCTTAGATAATTTGGTGCCTGAATTTTAAGATTTCCTCCCTTTGAGAAAATACTGAGGACTCCTCTGGGCCGGTTGTCCAAATTGGACTTCTTCCACAAGTCTCCTAAATAGTCTCTGAGTGTGGATATATGACTTGCAACCATAGAAATTAGCTTAGGAAAAGTGCCTGGCAACTCAACCTCTGCAAAATGCATATAAATGATGTGGGGGGAAAAAAAAGGAAAGATTTTAATGCTCTACTTGTCACGCAGATTTATAAAAGAAAATTGTGTGTTTAGCTTAGAGGGAATTCAGAGAGGGAAATGAAAGGACAAGTTAATTGTAACGACAGTTTGAATTACTTGAACAAATATATTTTGGGAAATGGGACAGAACATTGGAGCTGTAAAACTCTCTAGGCTGTTTCCATTTTATCTGGATTTTGCTGGGATCCAAATTAATTTCAACCATGAAATTTTAAACCTTTCTTATTAAGGTACATAATGACCACATTTTTATAGGGTCAGTCATGAGGAGACCTTCAGTGCTGTGCACAGATTGTAATTGCAGCAGCCTCCAGGTAAAATTGCTGCTCTTTTTGCATCTAGAGTTTCAGGAGAGCTGCCATTCTATAGAACAAGAAAGGCAGAGTTATTCAGCTTCTAGGCAGGGAGACAAGACACTCTCTGAGGAGCTGCACAAGAGAAAGACCGTGTCACTTATACCAATCAGAAACCTTGACATCTAACGTACATTGCTGGGTGCTCAGGTGCGGTGCTGAGGGGGACTTTGTAAGACTATCTCAGGAGAAAGGAAACTGGCATTTGGGCCAGATCTGGAGACACTAACCACCTCAGGTGGTTGTCACCCTAACCACAACCCCCATCGATGATGGTGCCATGGATGAAAATTGCCACCCTGTGGAAGGTGACAAAGGATGTTTCCTCAGGTCTTGGTCCATGTTCTGTGCCTCTATAAGAACACTTTTTTTATGGGGTCAGTGTCCCCCTTGCCCCAAAGGGCTCTGGTCTGGCCTCAGGAGGGCACACTGAAGGAAGCATTTCTCTTACTCTGGGGCTGGGATGGGTGCTCTCCATGGGTGTTTTGTCCGTGAGGGGGGTTGGTGCTCTGGTATGAAGAAATTGTGTCTGTTTTCAGGATTTTCCTGCCAGATTCCTGCCACATCAGACCTCCCTTTAATCCCAGTGGTGACCCGGGAGAGGAGGAGGAGGAGCCCTTGCTTCAAAGGGCTCCTTTGTTTGGAGAAGGGCTGGTGTATACCCAGAAAGCAAAGGAAAGGATTGAAATGGGAGGCCCTGCTGATTACTTCAGATCAAATGGTTTTTGCCAGGCTCTTGGGCACTCTGTGCCCTTAGTGACAGAGGGCACAAAAGCTGTGCAACTCAATTTTGAACTGAGCTGCTAAATGGAAATGTCACTGGCAGAGCTGCTGAGAGCCTTCACCGCCACTCACACAGTAAGGCCAGGGCAGGAGCACTGTGTGTGTCCTTCTGTACCTCATTAACGTGCACAGGAATGCCTGCAGCTTGGCAGTGATGATGCCTGGTGATAATGGTACCCACCAGTGATGCTGCCTAGGAACAGCGCTGCCCATCAGCTCTCCCTTCCCTTCTCAGCCTTCCACAGAAGGGCTCTCCCATGTCCTGCTCACCCTCGCGCAGATGCAGCCATGCAGGACTCGGCTTCCTTTAAAAAGAGGGAAAAGTAGGGAAAGAGGCAAGAAGAGGAAAAAAGTCCCCCCAAAATTAAAGCATTTTTGTGACTATGCCAAGGGCAGTATTTTACCAAGCTGTTAACTGCTTTTCACTTCTCCAGCTCTCCTTAAATTATGGCTGTAATGTCTGTGCTCTCTCTCCCTTAGTTCTCTGGCAGCTGACAAACATTACAGCATGTCAGTATTCTTCCCACGTCTCAGCTGGTGACAAAAGCTTTGAAAATAAGTGACTAACAGCTCCCATGCAAACCACCTTTGTGCTGGTGCTCTGCCAAAGGGAGGAACGAACCATCGAGGCTGCTTTACAAGTGCAAATGCTGTCTGTAACATGTTTACTTACCCTGCGAATCCAGCAAATCAACTAGTTGAAGCAGTCTACTTGGGAAGAGGTAAAACAGCCTGGTACAAATTTAAAAAAAAAAAAAGAAAAAAAAGTTTGATTTCAAGGAGGAGAAAGCAGCCTCAGAAAGAAGTCCAAGGCTTACCCTCACTTCGGGTATCAATCAAGGCCATGCAGTTGCATGACACGCAGCTGTGAGAGGCATCATGGCCCAGCTGACTGACTAGTGGGTGCAGGTCCAAGAGGCTGCCTGCAGGAGGAACTACCAGCACACCCATAACTGGAGCAGCCACTCAGGATGCACTTTAGACCCAGTGTCATTCCTCAGTCTCTCCATCCCATGCTGCTGAGCAGCCACCTAAGCCCTGAAATGCTCACAGTTGCTTCCAGGCACATCCATTCCTGATATGGAGCCTGTCCCAAAGCTTCATGGCCTCTCCAAGGCATGTCTCTGGTCCCTGGCTTGGCCTATATGGAGCCAAAT